ATGAAAGAGTTAGCCTTGGTATTCTTTATCGTCCAGCGGAAATAAGGTTGGCCACGCAAACGATCGGAGGCACCGGCCAGTAAACTCACGCATATTCCTCCTTAACCGAACGTCCAACGTTCAATGTTCATCCAATGTCCATCCAATGCTCCACCATGACTCTCCGATGCCACGTAATCTGCCATAAGTAACGTCTCCACGATCTGTCCAAGTGTTCGCCCGTAAATCAACCTGCAATTATCGTCCCGCATATTTCCCTGACCCGCGTATCCTCCAACCGCGAATCTTTGCGTCCATCTCCGGCATGCGGTTATCACGGAAATAATCGATAGAATTTACCCAGGACCGGTTTCGATTGAGCCATCCAACCACTAGCTAGCCACCCATCAAATTCGATCCTGGGAATTAAGCCTGCTACCGTTCCACGTTTACGAATCTCCCTAACATCTGTCAACTGATCTATCTAAGCGAGTAACATTCCTAGGATCGACCATACGCGCTTTTATTCCTGATATACACTCAGGATTACCTCGGACGATAGTCTTCGTCTCCAGGTTTACTGCCAGGAATGCATAGATCGCAGATACAGATCGAGTCTATCTCACCTGCGCGCAAACTCCTGTCAAAACGAGGAATCGTAGGTAGCCGGAGAGAATCAGCGAATTCCTATTACACGAATTCCAGTTATACGAACCGACTATCTACTAGGGATTGGAATAAGTGAAATTCTGCCGTGCCTAAGTATCCGGGATACAAGCTGTATGAATGGATTGGCAACTGTTATCGCTGACTTTTACTACGTCCTAATCTGAACCGGAGAGGACTGGTACCCTGTAGAGTCGTAGAGATTCGTAAAGTGGAATAAGTTAGTGGAAGATTCGAGAATAAATGGTCCGTGGAATACTCGGGGTACGTGGAAATCCCTGTCTCACCCTCGTGACCCTAGACGCGGAACCCTTGACACCACTCTGACTCAGATACGGTCACCATTGCTGTCTCAGCGATGCAAACACTTCGCAGATTTTACGATGTCGATTTCGAAGATATTTCGACCAATGTTGGAAGATTTTTCGGTTGACAGCGAGGATAAAATGTGAAACGGTGAGTTAGACCCCCTGTCTGTGGCACCCTGATGGCTCCGGTGTCAACGCACGTCCCTGGAACGACTTTCCCATCCTCGAATGATTCGTCATCGAATAAACATCGGTTGCGCACTTCACGGGCGTCGACGAAATTACCTGATCATCCCTTAAGCTGGCTTTCCAGTAACTCGATGCCTATGGCAGCGTGTCGAGAGGGACAGTGGAGAATTTAATCAGTCGATTACTCGAACGAGACCGTACGAAAAACACGCCCAATCGGTCTTCCCGGTGTCTGCAACCCTTTTGTCCCTCCGGAAACGAGCCTTGGGAACCCATAAAATTTCGCATCGATCGCGGGATCCTCGTCACGTGCACTCCCGAGGAAGAATATTTTTCTAGGAATATCGTTTTACGCGCTACTATTCGACACTTTAAATTTAAAATTCTTTTGATTTTCGCGCGCAATTGCGAAATCAAGAGATACGTAAAATTTCGCGTCGATTACGAGATCCCTATCGCGTGTACTCGCGAGGAAAAATATTTTTCTAGGAATATATCTTTGCGTCCTACTCTTCCACGCTTCAGATTTAAAATTTTTTCGATTTTCGCGCGCAATTGCGAAATCAAGAGATGCGTAAAATTTCGCGTCGATCACGAGATCCCCATCGCGTGCACTCCCGAGGAAGAATATTTTTCTAGGAATATAGCTTTGCACCCTACTCTTCCACGCTTCAGATTTAAAATTTTTTCGATTTTCGCGCGCAATTGCGAAATCAAGAGATGCGTAAAATTTCGCGTCGATCTCGAGATCCCCGTCGCGTGTACTCCCGAGGAAGAATATTTTTCTAGGAATATCGTTTTACGCGCTACTCTGCGACACTGTAAATTTAAAATTCTTTTGATTTTCGCGCGCAATTGCGAAATCACGAGGTACGTAAAATTTCGCATCGATCACGAGATCCCTATCGCGTGTACTCGCGAGGAAAAATATTTTTCTAGGAATATATCTTTGCGCCCTACTCTTCCACCCTTCAGATTTAAAATTCTTTCGATTTTCGCAGGAAATCGCGAAATCGCGAAATCCCAAGATGCGTAAAATTTCGCGTCAATCGCAAGGTCCTCGTCGCGTGCACTCGCGAGGAGAAATATGCTTCCAAGAATATCGCTTTGCGCGCTACTCCTCTTCCACGCTTTAATTTTAAAGCTCCTTCAATTTTCGCGCAAAATCCCGAGATGCATAAAGTTTAGCTAATATTCTTCGGCGTATTGGTAAGCCTGCAACTCGACGCGTTCCGGAAGCACGGATTAGGATATAAGACAGCCTGGTACGGTATGCAATACCGTGAAAGCTTAGAAACGAATCGGGTCGAAAACCCGAATCACGTTTCCCAGACGTGTATACGTAAACGCTGGAATATCAGACGATTTCGTGTTTCTTCCAGTTTCGAGTGCCGAGTAATCGTAGTTGGTTCATCGAACGCGTGGTTAATCGCGAGGGAATCGGCAAAGAACGTTAAACGCGACGCGGAGCGCGTAGAGGTTAAGCCAGGCGGCACGCGAGCACGGTCTAACGTTATTTTTCCCTAATCATAGCTCACGCACCGCGAACTTTTGCACGGTCTACACGGTAGAATGTGCACGGTTTCGCGAATGACAGTGTTTTCTCCGGTCTGCTCGCGTGTCACGTCGAATAACACGCGCGACAAGCGGCCGTGCACCGTGCGTTTCGCGGCCGCGCCGTGTGTGTAATCGCGATGGAGCGAGACGGCCGTATGTAGGTTTTTCCAGCCTCGTTAATGGCGGTGCGTGACGCGGTGGAATCGCGAATCGATGGAAGAATAGCCGGGAATTTTTGAAAGCGGAATACCAGTTCCTCGCGCCGACACTTTCTCGCGTGTTGGCCCGCGCGCGATCCACGATGGCCGAGCGACAGCCATCGCTGGATTAGCGCGCTGGGGTATCGGACGTCGAGGATGCCGGTGATTTCGATGATTATCGTGCACGGTTTACTTGCCATCACCGGTAGAGAGCCGGTCGCATGCTCGAGCAGCGTGGAATTCGGCTTTGGAAACGAGCGGCGCGGAATCGGTAATGGCGGAGAGCTACCGGCGGGTGGTATCGGTGTAATACCGGTGTAAATATTTCTTGAGCTTTCTGGGTTATTGATTTCGCGAAAGTACAGTATATATCGGGGTGTGTGTGTGTGCGTCCGAGGCTCCGACTCGTGTCCGTAAACATCTTTTGTACCGAGTCTTTTCTTCCGACGAGCTTATTTATAAGCCGAGGGAATATAGCCTTTGCCATAGCGTACCGCGACAAAAATACGCGCCGGTTTTCCTTCAGGTGTAACGCGGACGTACGGTACCGTTTCCGATTGCGTCTACGAGTATCGAATTTTGATTAATTACGTCGAAGCCTTCGAATATTCCTCGGTGCCCCCGCGAGAGAGGGGCCAGGTGCGCGGTCACGAGCTAGCAAAGAGACCCTGTTACCCCGAGACCTAATCTTCCGTACGCTGTCCGTACATTATTTATCAGCTTTTGCCCCATCCCCGAGTCTCGGAGGCATTCAACTGGTTCAATGTCAGCGAATGGTACGACAGAACGTTTCGCGAACGTTATCTGTCAGCTACCGTGACAACCCTCCCGTGCTGTTTGATAAGCGAATCCTCGTATCTTGTCTGGTCTACTCCCGTCTACTCGCGTCTACTCGCGTCTACCTGCGTCTATTTATATTTGCTCGCGGTAGCATTTCTTTGCGCTTGCTTTCATCCAGAAGCTTCCGCTCGTGTTTACACGCGGCTATTCGCGTCCAGATGCGTCTTGCCGCATTCGCGGGCGTCTACTCGCGTCCAGACGCTCTCCGTCGCATTAACTCGGGCTTCTTTTAGCATTTGTCCGTGTTCAGTCGCTTCTTTTCGCGTCTACTCGCGCCCAGACGCGAGTTTACTCGCTCGCACCAACGTAGACCAGCACGCGTCCGCCTCTGGCGGCGTCGAAAGGCATCCCTAACGATCGGGCGCAGCCCTTGACGCCGACCAGCGTTCTCCACCTCCGCGCTTCTCTCTGTCCCTTTTCTCTCCTCTCCTCTTCTCTCCTCTTCTCTCCTCTCCGCTCCTCGCCCTCGTGCTCATTATCTCCGATGTGCGCCCGGACAGCGCACGTGCATCGGCGTGCACATGCAGCGGGAACGCGACGACGCGATACCTACGCGGACCAACGTCTCTCCGCGCCTCTCCTCGCCTCTCCGCGATTCTCCGCGCCTCTCTGCCGCCCCCGCCGGCACCCTCTCCGCCACCCTCTCCTCGTCGGCCGTGTATTGATTGAGGTGAATGCACGACGTCGGCGTCGGCGTCGTCGGCCTTCTGCCGACGTCGGGGGTAGAAGTGCACACAGCGCTGTCGAGGTTATCCCTTGCTGCTGCTGCTGCTGCTGCTGCTGCTGTTGCTAGAGGTGGTGTAGTGGTGCTGCTGTGCCACTGCCGGTGGTGACGCTTCTGCTGCTGGTGGTAGTAGTAGCGATGAAACGGGATGGTGGCGTAGCTCCTGCTGGACTGACAGCGGGTCGGACAGGGACAGCGACAGATAGACGGAGAGGCAGCGAGACAATCGGACTGGAAGAGCTTGCGGGAGAGCCAGAGAGAGAAAGTACGAACTCGATCGAAGAGTGATAGAACGAGACAGAGAGCAAGGGAGAGACAGATAGAGAGAGAGAGAGGCGGCACGTTGTAGACAGAACCGCTGGCTGAAAGAGCTTGCACGGGGTGAAGCAGGGGCAGGAGAGAAGGTGGGAGAGAGAGAGCGGGAATCGGTGCTGGAAGAGCGACCACGAGAGCGGCAGAGCAGACAGAGAAGGGAAAAGCGGCCGAGAGAAAGAGAGAGAGGAGGGAAGCACCGGTGGAGGAGGCATTATATACTGGCTGGATCCTCATTCGGCTGCCAGTTTCTCGGCTGTACGCGGCAACGAGTGTAGCCACGCTCCTCGAACCACGATATTCGTGACCTTTTCCAATCGGGGAGGAATCCGTTTTCGAGAGTCCGGTCCGCTTCACGGAACAGGAAGGGACAGAACCCGCTGCCTCTGTCGCTGCCGCTGCCGCTGCTCTTCTTCCTCGTCGTCGAGTCAAGGACGCTCGGTGTGCAGCCTCTAGTGGAAGCTCGTCGTCGTCGTAGTCTGGAGTCTGCTTCTTTCTTTTGTTTTTCTCCGACATCCCTGCAAATCGACGTACCGTGCTGTTCGCATCCAGGCTGTTTCCGTGCACACGCACCCGGGGGTGAGACACCTTGAGCGAGAAGGTCCAGAAGACGCAGCGGAGGGTGTACGCGTGACGGTCGTTCCTCGGGGGAGCTTCAGGAAAGAACGATGGCCACTTACGCGACCTACAGACACGTCGAGCTCGACAATGTTGGATACGGAAAGAAAAGGTAATCCCGGAAACCATTCTCTTTGCCCGCCTCTTTACCGCACTGCGGCTCTCCTCCGGCTCGCTCGTTGGATATCCGGTTCGCACCTTCCCAGACCCTCCACCCGGCTTTTCCTTCCACTCTAATACGCTTTCGAGATGTTTCCTTCGTCTTCGATTGTTCGCCGCTTTAATAGTCAGGCGGTGCACCGCGGCTGTCACGGTGACAGCCATCTTTCGCGTGGTCGTTGCAATGGTCGGATGGTTCTTGGGAGGAAATTTGCAGGGCATATTTCTGCAATTCGTGTTTACATCTCGA